CGCTGAGCCCCGCTGCGCCCCGCGGGTGCCCGAGCCCGCGCCGCGCCGCCCGCACCATGATCGCCGCCGCCTTCCTCGTGCTGCTGAGACCCTACAGCATCCAGTGCGCCCTCTTCCTCCTGCTGCTTCTGCTGGGCACCATCGCCACCATCGTCTTCTGCTGCTGCTGGCACCGCAGGCTCCAGAAAGGGAGGCATCCGATGAGATCGGTCTTCTCGGGGCGCTCGAGGAGCCGGGGTAAGCCCGCCGGGCGCTCTGCGCGAGCCCGGAGCCTGCGCCCACCCGAGTGCCCCGGCCCCGGGGCCCGCACCCCCTCCTCCCGGACGCGGGCTGCGAGGCCGAGGCCTGGGAGGGAGGAACCATTTTTGGGGTCACTTCGCTACCATCCTGAGGGGAACTGGATTCGGGTCTGCGGCAGCCTTGCTTTTCTCATCCTTCGCCGGGCTTCGAGGTGAGAAAGGAAGGCGTGGAGATTTGGGGCCCCAGGGCCCCAGAACTTTGCCCGAAACTTCTCGCGGAGAGATCACCGGAGAGACCCGTGGTCCAGCCCCCACCCCACCCCTGCCCGTTGATTGTGGCCCCGGCCGCAGCCCAGATGAGGCGTCAGGAACTCGGCGGGTGAAGAACAAGGAGTTAACCGGTCTTCTTTTCTCTTTTCTCCCTAGATGCTGTTCTGAGATCTCACCACTTTCGTTCTGAGGTAATTTATTTAGCGCGCACGCTCAAGGTCAGAAGAAGTTCTTTCCTGAGTACCAGTATCAATCACATGCATGTTAAGGAACCAGTAGCAGGCCGGCCGAGTGGCAGCACGCTGTCCCCAAGGCCAGTGACAGGTTTCTTTTCAAGGGAGTCCACGTTAGTGCCCAGCTAACGACCTAACACGTTTGTTATGTGTTGGAGTCTGTATTGGGGGGAAAGAGCCGCTAAGCCATGGGATGGATGTCAGTTTAGTTCACGATCTGTAGTTTGCAGTGGAAGCGTTCGCTGAGTGCTGTCAGATGTCTCCTGTAATTGTGCCCTGGGATAAACGACAGAAAAGCTTTTAGGAGGCTGGCGCAGGAGTCTTCGATCCATATGCATTACACTTTAGGTTTCCAGAGGTATAGTCGTATTCTCTCAGAAAGCCCTCTGTGCTTTGCAAAGTGACATCATATTGGTGATGGAGATTTGCCAGATGGCGTGTGCTTAAACGCTTGTGCTAGCTACCACGCTCAAAACGAGGAGCAGGCGACCTTGGCGCTGTGATTAGGTGACATTTCTATAGGACCAGCCCCAATGAAGCCAGAACAAAACAGAAGGCACAGGCGACTCAGCATTCCTTCAAGAGTTCCCAGACCAACCCCCGCCCCACTTCCTGCTTAGCATAATTTCCCGTTTTGGGGGGAAGTTTCAGGTTAGCCAGGCATGGCCTGTGCTGTCTGATACAGTTTACCCGGGCGAGCAAAGACTACATAGTCACACACCCTCCCTGTACTTCCTGATTACGTATGGTTATTTCACGTTTTATTTTACTAGTCTGACAGTTTACTCTACCCTGGATGTTTCATTGGATTCTGACTGCTGTAAAGCTGTGACTGCATTTATTATGCTTATAATGTTGCACAGTGAGTAACTCTTTTGCATGTGGCCCTGAGGTGAGAGATATGTGCCCAATTTGGGATTTGTGAGAGAATGCATTAACTTGTTGGGTAGTCAGAAGTTCTGTTCCTTGCTTTATGCTAACTAGCTCTGTAGTGCAGGGAAACGTCCTTAACTTTTGGGTGCTCAGCTTCCCTATGTGTAAAATAGGAACAGTAGTGCCTTCTGGGTTGTATGGGGGAGGTAACAATTCAGAGTAGACATTCAGTATTTGGTGGCCAGCACTATATTTTATAAAACTGATCTTCAAATGTATAGGAAAAAAGATATGCTTATAAATTTTGAAGTCTTTAGAAAATTCGTTCAAGTTAATGGGATACAGTGTAACGCATATCTGTTTGTGAAGCGACAGTTCTTGACTAGCCGATTGATTCAGTAAAACATCTCATTTAGATTGGCGAAAAGTAAGTAGTGGTCAGGATGCAAACATCCAAATACAAGGTTTTGATTTTGACAACAGAACACCAGTTCCATGTACATAAGTGAAAGAGGGGGTTATAATGCTGCTGTGGATGCTTATATTAGCCTTAGGCATTTCAGCCAAACCCCACATGGAAAACATAAAACAGGATTGTCTTGTTTAGTTATTTCTCAGTTAAAATTTTATCCTGAGCTTGAATATGGTTAGAAAAGCTGAGGGCTTTTGTCGAGTGCCTTAGCTCGTTCCTCAGGATTGCTGGTGTGATTTGCTATTCTCGAATGCGTTTGGTATCTCTCTCATCTGTTGGCCTGTGAGCTCTTGGCGGGCAGGATTGTGCCTCTTTTTGGGGAGAACCCTGCTGGCCCAGTGCCTTGTGTAGAGTGGATTCTTAATAAACATTTCCTGAAGGAATGGAAAGCATCTATTGGTTAGTTTGTCTAACTGGGCTGGTAGAGCTCAGAGCTGGGCAGAGAAAAAAAATGTGCATTCTGAGAACGTGCTTCAGAATTCAACATTTGGTGGAAATCAACTCTTATATGATCTTTTTAGGCTTTTAAAAATTGCCCTGAAGTTTGTCCTAAAATATATCACTAATTATAACAAATGGATTTAGTTTGAGTATTTTTTCCTGAGAAAATTAAATGCAATATTAGCTTAATTTGTTGATGGGCCACCCATCAACAAGTTCCTTTGGTTAAACTACTCAAAGGGAATTTTTTCCTTCTCTTTTTTTCTCTTGAAATGCCATTTCTTACAAGATTATACCTCCGCCTTTACTTGGACTCTAGTGTATTAGAGAAGTTAGAAGAACTTGAACAGTGCAGCGAGCATTCTTGTTGTCTTTTAGAAGCGGCTCCTGCAAATACCAAAGAAAATATTTTGCTTTTCTGACAAGTCATAATCATATTGGAATAGACATTAGGGCTTCCTGTTATTCCTTCCAATCTCAGGAAGTAGATAATTTACTTTTAGCATTTTTAGTATGGAAAGTGAGTTTAGGACATGCTGATTCACTTTAATATGAAAACGCCTCGGGAAAGCCCTGGAACAGATGAAGCAGCTTGGTAAGCACTTTGCTGATTTCCTTGGCCGAGGATGCTGCTTGTGCCACCCTTCCCAGCTGCTCGCCCAGGAGGGTCCAAGTGGGCAGAAAACCCAATCGGTTCCTTCCCAGGCCGTGAGAGAAGTCCTTCACCCCACCAGCTCTCTATTTCCACACACCCAAAAACTTTTTACTGCCTTTTTAGTAGTCCTTTAGCTTTCAGTGAGAGCATATGACAGTGTGGAATTATTAGTCCATCTAGCAAGGCCTGAACAGATAAAGTCCAATTAGAAGTCTTACATAAAAAACTTGTATGGTGTTTTTTGTTTGTTTTGTTCTCGTCTAAATGCTAATGAGATGATTTCACATTGATGTAGGACTCAGCCTAGAAACCAAGTGTTCATTCTGGCTTCTAGAATTCTGGCACTTAAGAAGTGCACTTTTAGGACTGGGAATGTACCTCAGAATAGAGTGCTTGCCTAGCATGCATGAGGCGCTGGGTTTAATCCCCAGCACCACCGAAGTAAGGCAAGAGGTGTATTTTTCCTGAGGACTTAGGATGTTTTATGCCATGACTTTAAATAGTGGTAGCCATTACCTTAGATCCCTGTGGTGACAATCAGGTGGTGACAGTCTTTTTTTTCAAGGAAATTTCAGAAAGTGATATGAGCAAGTGAGGTACTTTAGATTATAAAAAACACTTTTAGGAGTACTTCCTAGGAAGAAGACAATTATAATGCCTTTGAGAACACCCACAATGAACAGTGGTAAGTGACCCCTGTTAATCAGCTCCTTAGAATAAAGGAAGACTTGTTTGATATAAGGAGGGGGGAAGAATATGTTTTCTCTCTGTCATTTGAGTAAACATCTTTACTGTTTCAGGCAAAGGAACCAAGAATGTTAAGTTATGACATTCTGCCAACTTGAACCACTGGTGGTACGTGCATGATAGTTCCATTGCATGGCTTGTGCCACTGGTGGTACATGCATGACTGTCCCATGCATGACTACCAATTCTACCACCGGTGGTACAGGCTGCCTGATGGGACAGCCGTGCAGGTACCACTTGATGGATCAAGCCACCTAGCAGCAAGACATACAAATTTTGGCCCTGTCATGACTGTGTTAAGCACCTAGAGTCATATAGCGAGGTAAGGACTAAGACAAAAGGCCCTGGAGAAATTCCCTCTGTCCTGTGCTGCTTAACTGTGTGTCATGCACAGCCCGTAGAGAAATATACCCCAAATTCTTGGTGAAATGAAGAAGTTGAGTTTTTAGTGGACATTCCTTATAAAACTGAACGGCTAAATTTGTTCATTTTTTTCCTAGTGATTATTCAGCATATTCTAGATGAAATGGATGGGCCTCCAAGGTGCTCCTGGGCTTATCAAGTTCGCAGTGTCCCTGTCCCAAGCTATGGACAGAAAAACAGCCACATTCCACAGCTTCTCATTTCTTTTGCATTTTTTATTAAGAATTATCTGATATAAGTGTTTATATCTATCAAAACTTCACATGGTGCCCTGTAAATACATACAGTTTTTAGGTATCAGTTAAAAAATAAGCTTAAGTTTTTAAAAATGTGAAAGAATTACCTAATTTAGTGGGTTAGGGAAAATAATACTTTATTATTGAGCTATCCTTTATAAGTACCTTATTATAAATACATAATTTTGGATGGAGTCAAATTCTGGCTGTAGATTAATTTATGCTAATTAACTCAAGTAATAACTCTACACATGAGGTGATGTTCAGTTCGTGTCACTCAATTATTTTCAATATAAACGCATTCAGTTTTTCTTTATGCAGGATTGTGTCAGACACGAGGGCTGACAGAGGGTCTGAGATATAGTCTTGCCCTTAGCGATCACTTTGGGTCACTTCCAGGGTCAGAGCTGAAATGTTACAGTTACTGGTTTCCTCTGTTACCGTCACTGAGCTGCTGTGCTACTGCCGAGTATGAGTCACAGATGTGAGGGGAGCGTTGGCAGCTGTGGTGTATCGTTGTCCAGCCAGTGCATATGCAGAACACACACACCCTGTCCCTAGAGCACGTTATTGTGGAGTTGGTACTGCCCTATCGCTAACCCTTACTTCTCAGGGGACAAAACAAGAGTTGCTGAAAGCAATGGAGGACCCTCTTTTTTCTTGCCATCTAAGCCAGTTAAATGCAGTCTAGATTAAAGTTGAAACAAAAGCTTTTATCAGCGCACTCTGAATCTGTCTAACCTTAAGGCTCAACAATTTTCTTTGGTGTTTCGATTGCAAGAAGAGTCAGGCTGAGGAGGAGCAGTCCTGGCATAATGATGAATGTGCATGCAGGTGCTGTCCGACATGGCTCCCTTGCAGTCCCCACTAGCTGATGTCACTTTCATCTAGTCTCGTGTCTCTGACAGCATTTTCATTGGCCATGAAATGTGTTAAGAGTTTTTCCTTTTCTTTTATTAATTAAGTTTATCGGTACATTTTAGGTAAGAGGTTTTTTTTCTTGGTACCAGGAATTGAATTTAGGATCTTGCCCTTGCCAGGTGCTGTGCTGATGAGCTACATCCCCAGCCTAAGAATTTTTAAAAGTATTCAAAATGCATGTATTGGCCTT